ACAAATGACATTTTGTAGCTTAAAATAGTACAAAATTTCATTTTCTTTTTTTCCTTATACTTTAAGTTTGACCACAACACTCGATTTTCGGAATTTGTTCCACTTTGATCAAATTGACCCGATAGATTAGTTGGACCAGTGCCCGGGACCAAATTTGAAACCATTTTTTGCTTTAACCAAAGTTTAAGGTTCAGTCAGGACAGGGACCGGGTCAGATATTGACTGCATCTCACTTTAGAAAAAGCTAAAGAAAGTTCATGGGCTTAGACCCGCCAAATTTCTGGTAACAAACTTGCCCTACAAAATCTAGCTTTCACTTTCCATTATGCAAAAGATGCAATTGAGTACAAAGTGACTAAAGCAAAAAAACCCCAAAAACCCCACCCCTCTCTCTCTCTCTCTCCTCTCTCTCTCTCTCACACACACACACACACAACCTACCTCTCTGTCTCTCTCACACACACACACACAACCCACCTCTCTCTCTCACACACATTGCTTTTAGGTCAAGGTTTGGAAATGGTTGAGGGTTGGTTGATAATCTTGTGGGGGCTACATCTAGAATCTTTCTAATCAATGAAACAAGTTAAGCAAAAATCAAAATGGTTAAAAGCCAAGACCAGTAAATTTTCCATAAAACAAAATCATATTTAATGATTCATTTAGCTTTCAAATCACTGTCTAGAGATGTCCTTTTCTAACCACCAGTTCAATGTCAACTTGGCTGATCATGTAACTAAGTTTTGTCTCTAATCATCTAAATTCTGTTAAACTTGACAGTGATATATTGTTTACTAGTAAAATGAAAGGTAACCACAATGACATATTATCTTGGCAAGAACCCAATATAAAATTATCATATTAAAGTTGATTAGTTCTCCACACGAACCAAAAAATTGACACAAACAACTAATATGAGTAAAAAACGAGTTTGATTAATGTCAAATAAGAATAACTTGATTTTGTACGACTGACTCATTACACAGATATAGTGAGAAGAATGTAGATTGGTTATTTTTTCTATTTTTTAATTTAATTAAACGAATCTTTATAAAATTAAATTTCTTTTAATTAGTTTTGCTAATATATATGAATTTTAAGTTAAAAAGAGGCTTATTAGGGGTAGTGATTGACATATAGTGTGGAAAGGGGTGGAGCTACACATTCCCCCCCCCCCCCAATTTTTTTTCCTAAACATTTTTTATAAAAATTTTAATATATTATAAATTTGCCCCCATAAAAAAAATATCTTATATTTTATTTTACTTAATAATTTCTAAAATTAAGAGTAAATTTTTTTACTCAATTAAGTGAACTTAACATTGTCTATTTAATGAATCTTGCCCCATTTCTCTAACCTTTGTTAATTTGGATACATCGAATGATACTATTATTATGCAAAATTTTTATAATATAAAAATTACTCTATAACAATGGTTAATATAAGGTGGCTTCGTTATGAACTAAACGTTAAGGATTCAATGCAAAAAAATATTCTCTCACATGCTGATAAGGCTATACATACATTTAATCCCAAACCTTGTAGTAATAAAAGTAATATGAAGGGCCACCTTTTTTAATTTATTATCACTACAAAATTTTAAAATTTTCCTTTTTTAAAAGCAAAAATGTAACCGAAACGTAATTGGAAGGCATAATTTTATAAATTAATGTATTGTCGTTGTTGAACTATCACAAGGTCTCAGCATTAAATGTATTTTATTTGCTAACCCAGTAGTGGTAATGCATTAACTTTTCAAATTTAATACATGTAATATTGTTGTTGCTAAAATTTTTGCCCCCACTACCGGTTCTCGCTCTGCCCCAAAGTGTGGACCTAGTCTAAGAGTTCTAATCACTAGTAATACATAACAATTCAAATATGACATGATTAATACATAAATTAGACTAGTATCACCACATATAACATAATTAATTAAACAGGTCGGGTTGGTATGATCCGAGATTGAAAAAAATAGACACAAACATTTGATAGGCCATAGCATAACTGACAATCCGCTAGATCACATAATCAAGGTCATTTGTTTTGATAGTGCATTATGATGTTGTATGTAACCTTTTTTTTTCGGTTTGTCAGATGATGAGAGGGAGGGGTAAAACTTAGAAGAGAATTTGTGTTACACGCGTGAATTTTAGTTATGATGGGAGCCACCCTTTGTGGTTGTTGCATGTGGCCATAATAGTGCTCCCTCGAAAAGGCAATTCAAATACTTAAGGGCTCGAAAAATAAATAAATAATGACAAAATTCTTCACTTATTGGGGCAATTATGAAATTTTTACTTTTTGAAGGCTAATGTCAAATTATCTAAATTTCATGAAACAAATTTCAATTGTCCACTTCTTTCGTGCTCCGATACCATGAAGTACTTCACTAACTTGAAATAACACATAAGAGTTTTCTTTTTGACTGAACTCCGAAAGAAGCTCATTCCTTATTTGCTTTCGGGACTGACTTGCGCATACAATGGAGTTCTAAAACAAATTTCTATTATCCACTTCGGATGTTATATAGACATAATATACTAAATAAATAATTTTTTTGGTTCGATAATTAGGGGTGTCAAGAACAGGTTACGCATACCTCGACTAATCTTTTTTTTGTCTAGTCAAAAATAGATCATTCACACTGGGGTACTTATGAAAGATAAATTCATCACAACTTAGCTTTAAATGGTTGCCAAGAATCAATTTTAGAGGGTTTTAGATATGCACAATACTGTCTCCGCATGCTGTTCAACTATTTCCATCATAAATTGTAACATTCAAGTAACAATGAGAAAATCTGACTGGTAAATCAATACATACCCATCCACTAAGCTAAATGTATCACTTTAAATAATAAAATAATTAGACAAAGCAAAATAAAAAAATCAAAAATCATTTTGGTATTCCGAAACTGACCCCAAACTTAATTTCTAGGCTTGGGGTTTAACCCCCCACCCCAATCCCCACCAACCCTAATGGAAAAAAGTACCAATATAATAAAAATGTCTTAAACACACTTAATTAACCGCATGATCTTAGAGACCCTTTAAAGTGGGTCAATCCACCCAAATCCAGGCTGGATCCAAATTCCCTCACGGATCTCCGCCGAGACTTCCGGACTGGACTGAGAGGAGAGGAGAGGAGAGGAGAGGAGAGGAGAGAAATCATTTTCCACCACCAAACACCGTCAATTCGTCTCCGTCAAAAAAATATATATATATTCATTTTTTTACACCGCAAAATCAGCTGGAAACCGTGACTTCTGTTTGCTTTGGAATGTTCGTCCGGATCACCACCAACGGTACGGTCCCACCTCTAACGGCTTTTGCTGACGTGGCGCATAGTGATAGACCTTAGTAAAATTATAGTTAGTTGAAATGTGGTAATAGTAAAATGTGCATTTGAATTCAGTGGAATGTAATGTATGGAATTTATAACTCTTCTTGCTCCGGTTCGTTCAATCTCATTCTTCTGATTTTCCTCTTTTTTCATTGATAATTTAAGAATTTTTAAGGTTTATAAGGGATTAAAATTGAATTTTGATTTAAAAAAATTTGAATGAGGGGTAGTTAATTAATAAGATAGTGAATTTTTCATTAGAGAGTACCCAATTTTGTAATTAATTTATTAAAAATTTTATAACGCAGCGATAAACGGGGGACACAAAGAGATCATTGTCTCCAAGTGTTAAAAAAAAAAAAAAACACTGTAAATCCACAGAGAAAATGAAGAGAATAATTCTTTAAATATTATATTATTAATTGATTAGCTCCTTAGAATCGTTGTACATATGATGATTTATAGGAAAACTCAAAATCCTAATATTTTCAAAACGGGAACAAATCCCTAGTCTTAACAATGTTGCCAAAATAAATAAAAATATGACTAATGAATTAGTAAAATTAACATGGTTTAAGCAACTAAATGCTCTAGATTATTCCTAATCAAACCCTTATTCCAATTAAATAATAAAAATAAAAATAAAATAATTTTTAATTCTTGTTCTATATCATATTATCAAGTGTCCACCCTAAACAAATATGATATAATAAATATAAATATATTATACAGTGTAATTGATTATGAGAAAAAAAAATTAAAATGTATAATTAAGGTGCTCATTCTAAACAAAATTATTGACTCTATCCCATTAAAATCCTAGCAAAACTATGATTTTGTGACCATCTAGGTTGTGAGTCTGCCAAACATGGTCTATAGTGATGTTGAGGCTCAAATCAATGCCTCTGAACCACCATTAGAGAAGCCTAGCATCATTTTACCAAATTATAGTTGTTTCTGCTTTTAATTCCTTTAATTGGGTTTATATTTGTGGGTCATACACAGTTTGGGTTGATTGGGGTTAGTGTAAATTTATCAATTTTAAATAGAAAATAAATAAGTCAAGTGAACTTAAACTGACGTTTTTTATATCACTTAATACACATCATATCAAATACGCTTACTATATACACACGCTTGTATTTAAAAAATACAAAAAAATTGAAGAAATATCTTATAACATCAATTATATTTTATTTATTTATTAATCGTGTTATATTGGATTCATTTGTGTCGAATTAACTGGTGATATTATATTTTGACACTTTTAATTAGTATGGAAAGATATCTGTCACGTGAGTGGCCGACGGATGCACGTGACAAAGCCTGGGGTTTTTGGCGAGAGAGTGAGAACGGTTAGTGGAAGTTAGTGAGGTGGGTAAAACATTAGAGTAGAGTCAGGAAAAAATGAACCTAAACTAACCTAACCACGGTTTAAGGTTCTTTTATCCCTTTCTGTTATTCTGTTGGTTAGTAATTGATTGACGACCGTTAAGTTGACGTTATCTGTTTGGCTTCTGTCTATAAAAGAGGCCGTTACGTTGGGGTGCGCTGCGTCTCTGACCTGACTCCCACTTCTCTTCTCTGCTTTATTCTATTCTCTCTCTTCTCCTTCGAAAGTAGAAAGAAAGTGGAGTTGTGAGAGAGAGAGAGAGAGAGAGAGAGAGAGAGAGCTGTGAAATGATAATGGCGGTTCCGATGAAATTGGTTTCCCTCTGTTCTTTGCTGCTTCTGTTGCTCGTTGTTGTTGGTGTCATGGCGTGGACAAGACCAAACGACGTCGCAGAACAGAGGTTTGTTCTTTACTCCACATTCTCTCTCGCTGTCCTCTGTCTCTCTCTCTTGATCTCTATGTATGCTCTGGTTCTCCGAGTGAGCTAACAGTGTGCTCCAAGAGTTTCGTAAACAATTTGTGCTCTGTTACGGCATTTGAACTCAATTTTTTGTTGGTCTCTCTCTCTCTCTCTCTCTCTCTCTCTCTCTGTGAATGCTCTGCTTTTCCGAGCGAGGTAGCAGTGTATTTCGAAAGTTTCTTTGACAATGTGTGCTCTGTTATAGTTTTTCAACTCAAATTAATTGTTATTAGCTCGAATTTTGACTGCCTTATATGAGATTTCTAAGCTACATTTTTTACAGAATTTACAAATGTTTGGTGTCATTAATGCCTTCTCTACCAAGCTTTGATTATATTTCATTTTCGGCTCATTTAGTCCTGTCTTTTTTCATCTTAAATTCTGAGAAGATAGGAACTAGAGTGAGAAATTGAGCTTAAGAGTAAGGAAGAGGGAGTTCATAGCAGTGAAATTGTGTTTATCAAGGTACATTTTGTTTTTCCTTCTACAGGACTGTGGAAAAAGTGCAGTTGCAGAGCTCCAACAACTCAGTTATGTCGGCGAGGTGAGTCACTCCGTTCTCACTCACTAGCACTACTGCGTTCACTCAGTACCTACAAGTCTTTCCCTTAAATCTCAGCTGTCCGATTTATGTTTCCAAAAGGAATCACCACACACCAATGGTTGGATTTGCTATATCTAAACCTGCATTGTCCAAAACCGTAACGGAGTTGTGATCCCAAATTCCTTCAGATCTTAACCGTTTATTCCGTTTTGTTCGTTCTTCGGATTCCTGAGTGCAAAACAAACCCTCATTGGTCCGTAACTAAAGTGCCTCTAATCCCATTTTTCCATAATTACCCTCGAAAAATATTCTTAATTCCCACATCTCTGTCCTACTGATAGCACTTTTTGGACGGTTAACCAGGGGAGAGAGAGAGAGAGAGAGAGCTTTGCCTCCACCTTGAGCAGTGCAAATGCACACACACACCCCCCTACACAGTGCTTTTTGAGAGTGTCTGGCAGTGTCGTACTTTGTGTCTCTCCACCTTTTCCTGCGTGAAATATTGGACCGGACAATAAATGTCGGTTTGCCTATTCTTGAAATTTCCAAAATACCCCTCCATTCACCCAAACGGAGAGAGAGAGTGGATTTGCATCAATTGTATTCTATTTACTCACTACGAGTTTTGGTATGGTGTCTCTTTCTCTTTTACCCCAAATGGGTTTCGCTGCAGAGTGAGTTAAAAGTGGTTGTGATTGGCCCAATTTGTGTTTGATTACAGGTTTACCACTGTTGAAAGTTGAAACTCTTGATTCACATCATGGGTTGATTTTGTTGACCAGTTTTCAGTTTTATTTTGGCCTTCTTTTGGTGGTGAATTGCGGTGAATTTAATGAGTTTGGGTTGTGTTCAGGTTGGAGGAGGTTGAAACAGCTTTGAATGAACATGCAGTGGATGATCCTGAAGAGGTTGCTTCCATGGTTGAGATGTAAGGGACCTCTCTCTCTCTCTCTCTCACACACACACACAGAAATAGTTGAACCTTTATTAGAAGTCTCATAGCACTATAGCATTCACCGACAATGGATTGTGGTGGGTAGGGTAGTTTTAGGGTAGCCTTTATAGCTCCACTTTGATATCACCCAACCCAACTTGCTTTGTCTTGGTAACATTTGGACTTAGGAACATATATGGGTTTTTTTGGGACAATTCTTCTTTTTTCACCTTGGATATTTTGATCATTCACAGTATAGAATTTGCAATGTGAGGAAAATCTGACACCATGTTACTTATCTGCCACATTCTGACCTCTTTCAACTTACTGGTCACTACCCTTCAACACACACATGCCAATGTGGTTAGATCTGTGTCTTCTGCAATTAATTCTTTCATTCTCTATCCTCATCCAACAACATACATGCAGCTAAATAGCTGATACCTTTATACAAGTCATTCTATAGTTTTGTAGGAATGAACGGTATGTGAGAGTCTATTTTGGGCACCCATTGGACAAGTCTCCTACCCCTTCCTTTTTTTATTTTTTTGGTAGTGTCTTTAAAAGGTCAAATCTGCCCTTGCTTGGGTTCATTTTGTTGACCACAATTTGGAGGACAAATCAGTATTTTTGCATTAAAATTGGTGTCTATAACAAACTGTAAAGTTTTCATTTGAATGTAATCTGTAGATATATATGTGTCCTTGCATGTGCATGTGCAAAAAGTAGCAACAAAGATGCTATTACTTTTGAATTTGGATGTTCTCAATTTCGAATTTTTAATTAAGTCGACTTCGATCATTTATAATTTAATTCCCCTTCTTCCATTACTTGTCAATGAACTCGCAAAACTCTTACCTGTTGGGATCTATTGAATTTACGAGATTGATTAAACTTGATAGAAAATAAAAAAAAATTACAACTGAGAAAATCTAGATCAGCTACTTTTTATCATATGGCGACATAATGAATAAGTTGAGCAAATATTGGATGTAACGGTTACCAGACATCAACATTATCACATGATTCATTTGTTTACTTATCATTTTGTCAATGTAGGAATCATTTAAACACTAATTAAATATTTTAGAGATATTTCAAGGACCAAATTAATAAAAAGGTCATATTTTAAAGATCAAAAATACTATTAATCTTATATTATATCTCCTATAGTCATATCAAATACGCTTGTGTATGTGGTCTATCTTTTTCACGTGACAGCATCAGCCATGTGTGGCCAAAGAAAGATAAAAGTACCTCCAACATTGATGCCGGTGCCCTCGTAAAATGACAAGATACCCATTTCTCTTTCTTGTAAACCCCCCACACAGATCAAGTTTTGGCCTTACAATTGACGGACAAAGAAAGAGAGGGCAATAGATACATCCACCGACACACCAGGCAGCAACCATTTACCTTTCATGTTATTTTTTAGAACTTATATTCTTTTTTTGGGGATCAGAAAGTCAAAAGTTTACTACTATAACTCTAGCTTCTAAAGCAAGAGTTGGCATAGGTTAACATCATATTCATTGCCGTGTAAATAGTATCTTGTCATGGAAAAAAGGGTAGATATTATTTTTGATAGTCGAACTCATGACAGTAGAGATCACCATATAGCAAACTTATGGCTACGCCAATACACTTTCTCACTGGTAAAACAATAGTGGAGACTGGAGATATAGTTCACATTCAATGGCATTCTGGACTATAGGACACAAAGAAATTATGACTTGATGAATCTGGACCTATGGTTGTATTATGATAAAACTACTGTAGTGGATGCAATCTTTAGATATATTGACACTATTTTTGTCTGATCAGGAGCATCCAAAACAGCACTGAGAGGAGGAAATTGGGATTTTTCTCATGTGGAACGGGCAATCCCATTGACGACTGCTGGCGTTGTGATCCCAACTGGCATAAAAACCGCAAGCGACTTGCTGACTGTGGCATCGGTTTTGGGCGCAATGCTATTGGTGGCCGTGATGGTCGTTTCTATGTTGTCACTGACCCCAGTGATCATGACCCTGTTAACCCCCGGCCTGGTACTCTTCGCCACGCTGTTATCCAGGACAGGCCACTCTGGATTGTGTTCAAACGTGACATGGTTATACAATTGAAGCAGGAGCTAATCATGAACAGCTTCAAGACCATCGATGGTCGTGGGGCCAATGTCCACATTGCTAATGGAGCCTGCATCACTATACAATTTGTTACCAATATCATTATTCATGGTCTGCATATCCATGACTGTAAACCCACTGGGAATGCCATGGTGAGAAGCTCACCCACCCATTTTGGTTGGAGGACAATGGCTGACGGTGATGGTGTATCTATTTTTGGTTCGAGCCATATATGGGTTGATCACAATTCACTCTCTAACTGTGCTGATGGCCTTGTTGATGCTGTTATGGGCTCAACTTCTATTACCATTTCCAACAATTACTTCACCCACCACAATGAGGTGTGTTTAATGTTGTTCCCCATTTAGCTATGGTTTGAACTCGTTTCTTTTTCACAGTAAGACTAACACTGTCATCTACTAATGGTAACAGGTTATGCTATTGGGGCATAGCGATTCTTATGTAAGAGACAAGCAAATGCAAGTTACTATTGCCTACAACCATTTCGGTGAGGGTCTCATCCAGAGAATGCCTAGGTAATACATCATTGACCTTCTTATTCCTGATGGATTTTAAATTGGACCTTGTTTTCTACGGAGTTAAAAATTTCTTACGAATAGGACTTACAAAACATCTTTAACCAGATTTAAGATGCTATCTTTTATTAAATGAATAAGCAATTGTGCATTGGTTGACTATAAAATTTGCTTGTCTATTCATGTACATGACTGAAATTTGACATTGGTATAGGAAAATTTTTTTATAGGAACAGTGTATCGTATGGTTTTTTCTGGATCAACAACTAAAATTTCTGTTTGTGAATTTGGAATGGCATCCAATTTAATGTGAAAAACAATTTACTAAATTTACAGGTGCAGACATGGGTATTTCCATGTGGTCAACAATGACTATACTCACTGGGAAATGTATGCCATTGGAGGAAGTGCAGAGCCCACCATCAACAGCCAAGGCAACAGATATCTTGCCCCATCAAATCGTTTTGCAAAGGAGGTATTATGCATTCAATAACCCCTGTTGACATTTAATTGTGCAACTTCACTTGACAAGTTTTTAACATAATGAACTTGGTGGATTGGTTTTGGCAGGTTACAAAGAGGGTGGACACAGCTGAAGGTCAGTGGAAGGGTTGGAATTGGAGGTCAGAGGGTGACCTGATGCTTAATGGTGCCTATTTCACTCCATCTGGAGCTGGAGCCTCAGGCAGCTATGCTAGAGCTTCAAGTTTAGGTGCCAAGTCAGCTTCGATGATCGGATCCATTACTTCAGGAGCTGGTGTTCTTGGCTGCCGCAGGGGTCACCAGTGCTAGCAACCTCGGTCAATTACACACAAAAAAAGTCCTTTTTTCCCCCTTTTTATTGTTTTTTTGTTTTTTCTGGTTAGGCTTCCATTTTTACTTCTATATAGCACCACCCCATATCCACATTCCCTCCATTGTTTGTCTGTCATCTATCTGCTGTCTTTACTTCGACAAGTGTACATTTTTTACACTGTCAATCATTCATCCCATCGACTCCACCGTGCCATTGTCGCCATTGTTGTGCAACCTCGGCCTGCTTCAATCCCGAATACAAATTGCCATTCTAGGAGCAGGCGCAGAAGCGTTGTTCAAATCTTTTTACCTTCTTATTTTGTCACTGTCAACCTCATCCATCATCTTTCTAACCACCATTTGCCTCTCATCACCTACTCATATGCTGCCAATTTGGTGCTACATATAGTGCTGCTTTTGGGTTTTATAGGAACTGAATGATTTTGTAATTTCCCTTCTTTTTTTTTTTCTCCTTCTAGCTTTCTTGAGTCATACAAGCTATATAGTGTGAATTTTAAGCTTTGGGTTATGAAAAAAACTTCTTTAATTAGACTATGCATAGCTGCAAGTTTGTTTTACCTTTTCCCACTTTCTTGCTTTGTCTTTTTCAATGGAAGCAATCTTGTCCTTATGGTTGTGCAGTGTGGTTGTCTTATAATTAGTATGCTCCCTCACATATAATTCCCTCTGCCTCTTTAAAGTATATTATCTACAATACAATACTGAAAAGTAGCATTTTGATATTATAACGAAAAAAAAAAATTATGACCCAATGATATGGAGTTAAAATTATTCGTCAATGTGGGATCGATCTTAAAAGAGTGGAGATTAATTACAAGTTTTTTAGATCATTTCCATTAAACAATAAGTTGATTTGTTTGAGTCGTAATTTTATCCGATAAAGTCGTAACTTTCAATACGCGTATCATAGGAAATCCTTACCATGATTATCTCATGTGCAGCACACATTACATGATTAGGTGGAATGATGGCTGTTTACAGACATACTGGCAAAAATGTCTTGAAAACTTTTCTAAGTTGGGGAAATTGTCTCTACTTTTATGATGATGTGGTTCAAAAATGATGATGAAGACATGAGGAAAGGCATAGGATACTGATTCTTGCTGTTAATTTTGTTGTCTATTTGGTGAATGGAGGCACGAGCAAATTAGTGTGTGGTTAGGCAAACAATCAAATGTTTGGTTCTCAAATGACTCTGGAAATTGGAAAATAAAAGTTAAATGAATTGAAACATTTTCCTTTATAAACAATATTGAATTTGAGAAAATTTAATTTGACTCTCTCAACTATAGCCTCTACATCACTTTGTCCTTCAATTATTGAGTTTTTCATATTACCCCATCAACTACTCGAGTTGGTTTTGCATGGTTCCAAACATAAATGTTCTTTCATGTTTTGAATGAAAAATATCCCTAAAGATGTGATAAAATATACGTTTCTAATGTTTTTAAATAGGGTGATGTCAAACAAATATTCAGGTAATGTAAGAAATTTAAAAGTTTTTTTTAAGTTATGTCTAGATAGGTAAAAAAGTCATGAAAAATTACGAAAAATTTTGAACCTCGTGATTTCAAAATTTTCAAAGATTTTATGGAAGAGTGATTTCTTGAATTGATTAAATCTTCTTACAAGTAACCAAATGTCTTGCTTACACCAAACACAAGAACATGAAGATTTTCGATCAAATCTTCTAACAAGTAACCGAATGTCTTTCTTACATTAGACACAAGAAAATAAAGTTTGTCCTATAAGAGAATTATGTCTACTCTAAATTAGAAGTTTGCCATTACCTCTACCTTCAAACTCCTCCCTCACACTCTCCTCTCCATCGTAGGATCGATTCCTCTCAAGACCATCGGAAAAAAATATATATTTTGAGTTCCTCCCTCTCTTTTTTTGGTCAGGCACTATTACAGTGAGAGAATGACAAGATTCGAACTTGCGATCTTAAAATCTAATAGTGGATACAGTGGTCATTAAACCAATTACTAGCCTCTAATAAATGAAACTAAAGGAATTTTAGAAACATTAAGATATCAAATTAAACTAAAAAGATTGAAGAAAGCTTAAATGGTGCAGTATTAGCACAATGAGCTTAGTGCTTTGTAACCAGAGTCTTGTGGAGAAAATTGTCCCAAACCCTCACATGTTGTGAGACTATGTGAATGGTTACCTAACTAACTGAGAGCTTCGGACCCAACAATTAGGGGGACCCTCTAACTCACGTGGTCGACGAAGGAAAAATAGAGGATATGCATGTGAGGTTGGGCCCATAAGGCATGTGAGGCACAGCTTTGCGTGTGTCCTTCTTAATGCCAAGGCCGACATATGAACCAAACAGTTCAGCCCCCCCCCCGCCCCCCAAAAAAAAAAAATAATAATAAATCCTAGCATTTGATCTGGCAACATTTACTTTCATGCAAATACATACACGTGGGTGTCAATCGTGTGGTTGTATCGCGTAATTTTCATATCGTGTTATTTTTAGCGTAATTTTCATGTCGTGTTATTTTTAATATTTGTGGTGTTCGTGTCAATATTCATATCAATAAAAAATTATTTAATTATGTAACAACTCATAAAATATTATTTAATTTTTTTTTTAAATTACTTATTTATTGTCTACAATATTCGTTAAATAAATACATTATATCTACAATACTCATTAATCGTGTGATTCATATGTAACTTTAATTTTATTTATTTATTATTCGTATCATTTTCGAGTTTTGTGTTTGGTTGAGTTCGTGTTAATAGGTAAAATTGACACCTCTGTATACATACATACATGCATACCTACATATATAAATATATAACAATTTTGACCTGACATATTAAATTCAACACTAAATTAGTGAGTCAGTTGGAATTATTTAATTTTCAACACAAATTAAAAAATAACAATAAATAAGTCAGGTTAGCGCAAATAGGAATAACCCAATTTTGATGGGATAAACTTGTTTAATGGAGATAGTATGTAACGTTTTTTACTTAATATTCATGTAAACCCATTGCAACATAATATCAAATTATTATCAAGTTGTCTTGACCCGAATAATAAATATATCGGGAGGAGGTTTACGATTACTCAATATAAATCAAAACATAACATGATTCAATTACCACGATGATTGCACGATATCCAGCATTTGGAATGGCATCATTTAGTGTCATACAAGAGCATGTGTATGTATCAGTATAGAGGCTTAGATCCAATTAGTGTTGGTTTAGATTTAGGGTGAATGATTGTGTTATGAAAAAATTATGACCAAAGTAAAAGTTAAAGAGAAAACAATGATTAACACAAATCTTTCCAGATTTTGGTAATATATGGCACCCATAACAAAGGGGCAAGTGATAAGTGACCCATGTGACAAGTGATATACTTGCATCGGTGATAACTTTTGACTCGATACATTTCGAAATCAATATAAATTTTATGATACAAATTCGATTGTAACTCGACATCGACTTGAAAATGATCCGACAAGAAAGTACAAAATATAAAAGGGTCATGTTCGAGTACAATCTGTCAAACCCAAAATTGATAATGAAATTTATCACACAACGTGTTAAAGTATGAAAACTCATCAAAATTAATTATAAATAAATATAATTAGCCTATTCTCGTTACATTTTTTTTTTTGGTATATTCTATGCATATCAATGTTGAGCTACTTTGTATCTAATAAATGTTTGAGTATCAAATATAATATAATAAATTTAAATGTGTTATGTTACTTTTATCTAGTGAGAAAAAAAAATTAAATTTATAGATAAAATGTCTACTCTGAACAAAATTTTTAACTCCGCCACTGATCTAATCATCGCATAAAAAGAGGTTGTTTCAAGGGTTCAAGTTATACATTAAACATTACAGTGGTAAAAATTTCATGCACGCACTGAACCGGATTTTTTAAATATAACCCAAATTATTTTTTTCCCAGTTCTAGCCTTTTACTTTCATAAAATTTAACTCAATTATAAGTTTACCCAAATTAAACAAAATTTTCAATTTTACCAAATTCGAATATAGATTGTAAAAATTACTGATATTTAGATTAGAGTTTTATAAATCAAATTTTGATTCAGATAGATCAAATTCCAAACTAAATCTGATCTTTCCACTAACCTATTTCGACTAAGTTTCCCCAGCACATGCCATTCCCCATACCACATTCATCAGCTAATTACCACGATCAATCCTTCGGCGATGATCTCAAGAAGAGATTCCAACTTACGCTACCCATTTTTGTAGTGTATAGAAGCTCAACCCGCACAGTTAGCACTGGGTCGAGCTTTTCTTTTTTTTTTGGGGGGGGGAGGGGGGGGGGGGGGGGGGGGGGGGTGGGTCGGGGGGGGTAGGGGATGCCCACACTATGGGTTGGGTACGAAAAAACTGACCCTCAAGAGCAAACCAGAACTCCATGTACCAAACACCATGCACAGAGGTAATGTCACTATTACCATGCCTTTTGCAATATAGCATTGATTGTCATCAAGAATTAAAGTGAAAATTTCGTGAGTTCAATATTATAATGTTGGATTACAACTATGAAGGGCACCTCCAACATTTTTCTATGATTTTTGTCCTTGTTTCTCTCGTCTCAGCCTTATGAAGCGTGGGCCTTGACGCAGTAATAAATTGTTCTATCGTTATCTAAAGTATCACGAGTTTGAAACTCAAAAACAATATTTTTTCATGCAAGAATTAGATTACGTAGATCTCAACCTGTCCATGAACCCCCATAGTGATGAAAAGAAAGACAAACTCTTTTCTTTCTTTTCTTTTTTTCAAACCCTCATATTAGCCATAATACTGCCACTGATGAAAATGGTATATATATATATATATATATAAATTCATCCGACGGTATCAAATAGACTCATCCGACTGCCACTAACATTTCTCTCAAAATCATTCACATACCGTACTTTCAGATACATGTTATCCTAATATCTATATAATAAAGTAGCTTATAATTCAAATCTTAAAAATGAACAAAATGACTTTTTCTATTCGTGGTTAAGATAACTTTAAATTTTACTTTAAAATCAATCTAACGACTAATATTAATACCCTAAATTTAATAGGAAAAATAGCCCCTAAGGGTGTGTTTGGAGTGACTTTTTAAAAGTACTTCTAATAATTATTTCTCATAAGTATTTTAAAAAAAAAAAAATTTTTGGGGTTAAAATTTTAATATGTAGTTATATTGATACTAGTATATATTAAAATATTTTAATTATACCCACCCTATGATTTTCTTAATGCATCAATTACTATACTCAAATGATTAAGAACCTTTGGACAAGTTATAAACATGTCTTTGGTAAGTTTTAAAATATATAAGAATCAATTCATAATGTTTGAAAAATTATAAGACTTTTTTTTATGCACAAAATTTAAGATCATTGTAATAAAATATAGTGTCATTTGTAAGTAATCCATAAAACTCAA